GCACCGGCTCCGTGGCCCCGCCCTGCGCCACGAACTGGTAGCCCCGCCCGGTGACGGTCGCGATGACCTCGGCGCCAAGCGCCCGACGCAGCGCCGAGATCTGGACCGTCAGGTTGTTGTCCTCGACCACCTGCCCCGGCCAGACCGACGCGAAGATCTCCGTCTTGGACACCACCCGCTCGCGCTGCTGCACCAGCAGCATGAGCAGGTCGAAGGCACGGGCGCCGAGCGAGACGGGCTCGCCATTGACGCGGACCTGGCGCCGCGCCGGATGAACTTCAAGAAATTGGAACTTGAGGATCTCCATGGACGCGGGCAGCGACGCTCACAGGTGGGGGAGGAGGACAGCGCGTGACAGAAAGCGCCTGCAACACACGGAAATAGATCGTAGCGTGCCAGGCGGGCTGGGCAGCCGGATTGCTCAAGCGAAGCCCGGGCATGGCCTTGATGAGGGCCCCCAGCGCAGTGGGCACCAGGAGGCGCTGCAAAGCCTCGCCGGCACATTTGTGGATGCCGCCGCCGAGGGAGAGGTGGTCTTTCGCCTCCTGCCGGTCGACGTGGAAGTCCTCGGGTGCCGCTGGATACTTTTGTGGGTCGCGGTTGGCCGAGGCCACCATCGCGAAGACGGCGCAACCCTTCGGCAAGGTCACACCCAGGATCGACTCCGTTCCGCTCGCGTAACGCTCGACCAAGGCGAGCGGCGGCTCACAGCGCCGGACCTCGTTGAGCGCGAGCACCAGAGCCGCCTTCAGATCAGCCTGGCTCAGGGAAGCCAGCCCGACCCAGGGAATAGCGCCCCCCTTCTCAGGCCGCGGATCAGGTTTCATCAAGTGCAACGCCGCGCTGCCCAGGAGGAAATGCGGCGACTGGCTGGCCAACACCGTCTGCACCAGCGTCAGCAACGTCTCGATGAAGTTCAGCTCTGGATCCGCTGGAGAACCGGCATGGAGGCTGGTCCGTCTGGCAAGCTCGCCGATCAATGTGCCGTCGTAGGTGTTGTTCAGCGGGAGGCACGCCCTGGCCAAAGGACCGGCCAAGCGCGCGGCCAGACGCAGACCCGCATCGGCCGCAATCAGGCGCTGCACGCCGGTCCCGCCTGCCGTCTTGCCATAGTGCTGCACCAGCCGATCGGCGAGCGCATCGCATGCCCGTTGCTCTGCGGGGTCGTCGATGCCAATAAAGCGCCAGATGACACGTCGCGCCACCGGATGGGCGAACTGGCTCATGTAGTCGAAGTGCCGCAGATGGACTTGATCCACCAAACCCTTGACGGTCTCGCGCACGACCTGTTCGATGAACCCCTCGTCCTCGAGCGATTGGAGCGCCGCGGTGAAGGCTTGCATGTATGCCGCCTTCACCGGCCCGTGCCTTGGGTCATCGATCGTCACGATGCCGCCCGGCAGTGCCTTGATCCCGTCCGGGGGGGCCTTGGGTGGGGTTTGCAGGAACCCCGCGTTCTTGGTGAAGAGCTCGCGGCAGCCGGCGTCGCTCAAGACCCAGACGGCCTCCTGTTCGCGAACCCACACCAGCGTCTGGCCGCTATCGCGAAGGCGCTTCAACGCCGCAAACGGGTCGGCCCGCAGGCGAGGGTCGGTCAGGTCCAGCTCCGCCATCGGCACGTTCGGCGGACGCTGAGCGTCGTCATGCGAGGGCGCAATGGCGTAAAGGAAATCTCTGAACCAATGCGAGTCCAGGTTCCGGTCGAGCAGGTCCTGGACCATCTCCCGCCACCCAAAGTTCAGCAGCGGCTGCAGCGCCGGCTCATTCTGCAAGGCCCTCAGCTCTGACAGGTCGCCCAGCAGGGGGCTCGCCCCCAGGTCGGAAAGCACGGCCTGGACGACCGAGCTGCCCGTCGAGGCCTGGTCGATGGCCGTGCTGATGTTTTCAACGGCTTGCTGCACAACGTTCAAGATGCCCTCAGCTTGTTCCGCCTGGACCTCCTGAGTGCTTGCATCGGCAGCGGGTGAAGCGCTGGACCTGTTGATGGACTTCAAGGCCGCGATGCCAGGGAAGAACAGATACAGACAGCCGCGCGTGCGCACCCATGGCGAGAACCTGGCAACGAGGCGCTGCGGCGGCGCGTACGAGCAGACCGGGTGCGGCTCGATGAAGGGGAAGTCCGTCTTTTCAGTGCGGATGCCGGAGATCGCGTCTGTCGTGCCGCGGATGCCGCTGGCCGCGATGCTGCCGTGCAGCCACTCTCGCTGGATGAATTCAAACTGCTGTTCGATGTTGGCACCCATGAACAGCCCCATCAGCCCGTGCCGCGGCGTGCCGTCAGACGCGGCCCAGGTGGAAGGCATGCCCCGGCGCAGGAGACGCCGGGAGTGGGCCTGGCCCGCCACGCGCGCCGTGCGAGGGTTGGCACGACGGATGTGGGCTGCCACTGGACACAGAGCGCCGGCGTGGTCGTCGGTGACGTCGGGGAACTCCCAGCTCGGTGAATAGTCGAACGCGTTCACCGGCCCTGCTTCCAGCTCGCTAGCGGTCGGCGGGTTGTCCGGGTAGAGGGACAGCGGAGCGCCGTTTGCCCAACGTCCGACCAGCTTGGCGCGCAACCGATCCACATCGACGCCAAGACGCGTTGCCTCGTCTTGCGTCTCCTGCTCAAAGAGATTGATGTCCTGCTCCATGAGTCGCAGGACGCCAAATGTGCCGTTGCTCGCCAGGGCTCGCGGCATCTCGCCAATGGACCGACCGGCGTAGATGCTCTTGTAGTCAGGATGCAGAAGGAACTCGCCGGGACTCGCCAACGGCTGCAACGTGGGTTCCGACCCTGGGCACTGGCCGCTGATGCCGGGATTGGAAAGCCCGTCCGCAAAGCCGAACCATTCCTTGCCGCCGTTGGCAACGCCGCTTTGCGTCAGCAGGTGAGACAAACCGGCACCGCTCAAACCCTCCAGGGCCTGAACCGCGGCCGCGAATGCCGGCGGCGCCGGATCGTGCGGTGTGTACACGAAGAGCACGACGTGGATGGGCTGGCCCTCTTGGCCGAACAGCCAGGTCTCGGGCGCACTCGTGCCCCGGTCGAAGTTGTCGTACGCACGCGCCGCAGCGCCTTGCTTGAAGGCATCAGGAAACGGCGCGAGTTCCGTTTGTCGCGCTGCCGGCATGAGGGTCTGCAGACCGGAGTAGGTGAACGCGACCTGGGTCAGCGTGTTCGGTTTCACCGCGCCCCAGTCCGTGGCGTCTGCAATACCGGCCCAGGGCTTGGTCGCGTCGGGAAGATCGGTGGCGAGCCAACGTCGGGCCGCCACCGCATCGGTCACGCGGAAGAACAGGTAACGCCCATGCTTGGCCCGGTAGCCGCGCAGGATATTGCCCTGTACATCGGTGGGATCGACGGCGGCAGCCGGACGGTCGACCTCGGGCGACAACAGTCGGCGCGGGCCGATGATGTCCACGACGGTCTTTTCGGGATAGGCGCTGTAGACCGGGTAGTCGAAGCCCACCGGGAACAGCGTCGCTTCGCTGCGCGGCGCCACGAAGGGCACACGGTTCCATTCATGAACCCATCGGATGAACTCCTCGGGGTGCTCGCGCACGGGGAGCTTCCTGGGCGGCTCCTTGACGTAGCTGAGCAGGGTGTCGAACACGTCACCGAGCGCGATGACGAAATCGAGCACGTAGGGTTCCAAGGGTCCATCGAACTCCGTGGTCACCATCAGGGCACGCCCGTCCCACGAGGGGATGAAGCGCGCGAAGTGCACGAAGGACAGCGTCTCCAGGGCGCGCTTGATCTTGT